CCACTCAGGGTGGTCTTGGTCTCCACTCGGAGCCTTTGCTGCAGGTTTTGCTCTCCCCAAGGGAGGTTTTGCTTTGGGTCTGTGTGAGGCTGGGCTCAGTCCAGCCATGCCAGGTAGGACACTGGGATGAGCGTGGCTCAGTCCCGCTTCTGCCCAGCATCCCGCAGTGGGGGCTGTGATGTTCTGTGGGCTGCCTGTGGCGTTGGCACATAGATCCGACTCTTTCTCCAAGGATGAAGAAAAAATAGCGCCGTGTCGCTGTTTTAGCAGAGCAAAACGGGATGGGTGAGTGTGAGGGCAGGGTGGATGTAATCACGTTTTTAAATCTTTATTTTTTATATTTTTTTTAACCTGCCCTTCTAGGATGTCTTCAGTGCCTCTTGTGATGAATTCATAAGATTTAGGGCTGGAAGGTGAGGTCCTGGTTTGTGCCACCTACACAAGGTGCAACTTTAAAAGTTGATGCCTCCAGAGCTGGAGCTCACCCCGCAGCTCCTGCAGGAACTCTCGCCCTTCAGGCATTTGTGTGTCTGATTTTTCTTACTGCTTCCCCCAGCTGAGAGGCATCTGCCTGAGCTCTTGCAAACCCTGCCTTGCTGTGGGCTTAGGTGAGTGAAGAGGAGTGTTTCACCAGGGACACGGGACTTCCCAGCACTTGCCTGAGGTCATGGGGAGCCCAGCTCCTGCTTACAGTGACAGCGGGGAGCATCCCTTCACATGCCAGGGTGTCCCCACGCTGCGTCCTCCCCACAGATCTGCTGCCTCCCTTGTGTCTCATAGTGAGAAATGGTTTTTTGGGGCATTTCAAGAACAAGTGCAGTCCAGGAGAAAGCCTGGTTCAAGCTTTCTGTGTGCCCTCGGTGTGCATCCTGCCTTTGCCCACCACAGCACAAGGGACGGTGCCCTCGGTGTGGTTCTGAGCTGTACGTGACACAGTGGAACAAATCCAGGTTGCAGTTTGTGCCTTGTGCTGCCCCTGACACTGCTCCTGAGCCTTCCCTGTGATTTGGGACACGGTGGCACGATTCGCCGTCACTCCAAACCAGCAATGGACTGTCTGCTCAGCTGCTCTGAAACAGAGGAGCGGCTGCAAAGAAAACTTTCTGGAGTTGGTTTCTCGCATGGGTGCAGCCTCTCCCTGGCCTGGGAATAACCCAAGTGCTGCTCTGCAGTTCATTAAAGGCCCTGGGTGCTGGCACAGCACCCAGCTGTGTCCCAGGTGGGACATCTGCAGAGGGACGGATGGGGTGCTCACAGACGGGTGGCTCCTTTCTGCTTTTAATATCACTTGGGGCTTTTGTTCCTGGCCTGTGCACGTTAGGAGCATCCCTCTCAGCTCCTGAATAACCTTTTTAGTCTAGATACAGGGCGTGTGGCTGCAGGGACTACATCTGCTCCCAGGGCTTGGAAAGTGGGTGCTTGAGTTGTATGGAAGGGAATTCCCACCCAGGTCTGGATCCTCTGTCTTGACTGATGCCTGGTGGTGCCAGACACTTTGCTTGCTGCTTCGTCTTTGTTTACAGCGTCAAGGATTTTCAAACCATGTTTTGTGCTTGAGACTATTTTTAGCAAGGATGCAGCTCTTTTGGTGTGTCTTTGCTTAATGCTGCTTTGCCAAATGTAGGAGCTCAGACCCCGGCAGCCTGCTGCCTCCCAGTGCCATTTGGCTTGATCCCAGGGACATCCCAATGCCTTGCTGTGACCACAAGTGACACAGAAATTCTACTTGAGAATGCACTGTTATTCAAATACACCTGGCTGCATCCTTGTGCTTCAGCTCCCAGTTCCTGCAGAAGCCCCTGAAATGGGTCAGGAGACCTCAGGTCTGAATTGCATTTCTAAGTTCGGGGCTGGACTCTTGCGGGTGAAATGTTCCTCCCAGCCGAAGCAGGATGAGTTTTTTCAAGGCAGCTTTGTGCCGAGGTCAGCAAAGCTTCTGGCAGCTCTGACCACTTCTGCCAGGCCAGTTCCTTTCTTGGCTCTCTTGCAGGTGCTGGGGTTTTTCCCTGGAGGATGCCGGGCTCTAGGACAATATTGATTTATTTGAACAACTGTCCCGAGTCATCCTAGGCAGAGCCATGGCTTTGTACCATGGCTTATGGAAGTGGCTTAAAGGAAAACCAGCGCATCGCAAAATTACCAGGTTGCTGTGGCTCTGCCCTCGCTGATGAGATCCCACGATCTACGGTTGCTCTCTGGGCATCAGCAAACCCAGCGAGATGCTCAGGGTACTGGAGACAAAATTAAAAATTTTGACTGTAATGAAGAGCAAGTGCATCTGAGCTTCTCGGAAACTCCCCACCAGGATTTTTCTCCGCTGGAAAATGTTGATTCATTGAAAGTAAAAAGTTGTGCGGCAGCAGAGGGGGGAGACTCTCCCATGGGGGAAAGGCTCCTGCTCTGCTCATTCAGCTACAAGCTAGACATAAAGCCACAGAAATAGTGCGTGTTCTGGGGAGCAAATGCCTCTCCATGGTGGGTGGACAAGTGAGGGCTGGTTTTGCAACCCCAGGACTCCTTTGGCTTGTTTTAGCATTGACTTTCTCTGAGGTGAGCCATGGCAGACCTCTCCGTTAGTTTAAATTCATATTGTTTAGTGCCGAGAAGGTGTGTAAAGGTATTTTTTATGATGTGTCTGTATGTTTGATGAATTTGTAGCTTCTACAGCTGGGAATATTGTTAGAGGTAAGGACAGTGTGACCTGGAGGTTGGTGGTGGAAGCCGCTGTTCCCTTGCCAGCTCACGGCATTGTTTCTTCCTTGTTAGCTCCAACACGCGTGGGTCGTGTTTATGTTTCTGTGCTGCTTAATAGACCATGTGAGTGAAAAGCAGCTGGATTTTTAATATTTTGTTTTCCTCTCTGATTGTCAGCTCCACTTCCCTGCAGTGAGAGCTGCTCTGTTTCTCTTGGTTTTGTTTTTGGACTGAGATGGGAAGAGCCCCGGTGCCAGCACCCCCTGAACTGTGCCCTGGGCTGTGGCCAAGGTGTGTTTTTTCACTCCTGGTGAAAACAAATCCGTGGTGATACAGGATGGAAGAGATGCAAACACGGACCCTTCTCAGATCTTTGTTAGGCTGTTTGCTTAAAATTTCCCTTTAACTTTTCTCTGTGGGGCTGTGTGAGGTTCCTGGGTCCCTGGGGAGGAAGAAGAGGAGGAGGTGCTGCTCCCTCCTTGGTCTGCAGTTCCTAGTCTGCAGAGCTGGTGAGATCTGCAGGGGAAGAATGGAGGCACCCGGCAGCCTTTGTGCAGATTGTTTTCTCTAAGACCATCTGGGAGTGGCCCTGACCGCCGAGAAAAGCGACGGCCTCGGGAAACACCTTGAGCCATTGTCACCAGTTGGGTCCCAGCAGTGAGAGGCAGGTGTTCCATCCCTGGAAGAGTTCAAGACCAGGCTGGGTGGAGCCTTGAGCAGCCTGATCTAGTGGGAGATGTCCCTGCTATGCCAGGGGGCTTGGAATGGGATGATCTTTGGAGTCCCTTCCAACCCAAATCATCCTATGGTTCTGTGCCTGGGACTGGAGGCCAGCAGGGTTCCAATCAGCAGGGGTGAAGGACTCTCCATCCCTCAATCTGGCTGATCTTCTGGTGGAATTTTAATAGGTTCAGTGAAAACTTGAAAGGTGCTAAGAGGTGGAAGAAGTGCTTAACAGTGAAGCTGATACAAATGTCTGCTTGCTGATGAGATGGTGCATCTCCAGGGCGTGAGGAAGCTGGTCGGGGGGATGCAGCACATCCCCTCGTGTGCGATGCAGCTGGGGAGGGCTGAATGTACCTGTGTCCAACAGGGAGCTGGATTTTGCAGGGTTTGCACGAGTTTAGAGTTGGAATAGCGCCTCTGGGGTGTTTGAACCCAGGGCAGCAGGGCAGGGGTGCCGTTCCGGTGAGTTTGGATCTGTTCAGAATGAGGGTGTGAGGTTTTTTCCCTCTGCTGTGACCTGATGCAGGCAGCGAGTGCTTTCACCCTGGCCCCTGCCCGTTGTTCATCTCTCCCTGTCGGGGGCTGTGGGTGATGGTGACTCTGTCTCCCCGCAGCTGGGCTGTGCCTGAACTGCTGGAGCTTGCAGGAGCTGGTGAGCCGAGACGCCGGCAACTACCTCATCCTCGTGGAGAAGATCCTCGGCAAGGCCAAAGAGGTGAGGCGGAGGGGCTGCCACTGGGAGGGCTCTGGGCTTTGGGGTGACGTCGGCTCTGGGGCTTGGCCAAAATGGAGTTTTTGCAGAGTTTCACGGGTGATTTTGGGTGGTAGTAAGGTATTGCTGGAGCACTGGAGCTCGGGGTCAGGTGGTGCTGGATCGGTAGCTCTGAAACCCTGCTGGGAGTAGCCCTGTGTGCCCCACTGGCTTTCAGCACGTGAGGGCAAAGAACTCCAGCTCTGGTATCTGCTCTTTGGGCAGCACTACAGATCCACGGCGAAGGGTTTTGATTTCCCAAAGCTTTTCTCTGCTCCGGGCTATAGGGCTGTGCAGATGGAGTCAGCCTTCCCCAGACCTTCCCCCTGCGTAAGCTGGGAGCGGCTAGTCCAAACGCGGGCAAATTGAAGCTTTCCTGTTGTTCTTTTGATGGAAACTTTGCTGTGACTCTGCCGGGCTTCGTGCAGAGCCAGGAGTGGAGCCGGGACGCTGGGGACTGTGGGCAGGGTTTGCACCTCCTGGCAGCTGGGTCAGACACAGCGGGGAGGAGGAACGGCTGCGGGGCCGATGCTGTGGACTTGCCGCGGTGCCGTCATGTGCCGGAGAAGCTCGAGGCATCGTTCATCAAGCAGGGTCACCCCTGGCTGCGGCCAGGAAGACCTCGGAGAAATCCCTTGATGTGGTGGGAAATGGAGGGTGTATTTCCGAAATCTTCAGTGCTGGGATTCATGTGATGGGATAAAAGCTGCCTTTCATTTTTGGGGGGAGGAAAGGCTGCCAGGCTGCAGAGCCAATACTGATTGACATCAGCACAAGTTGGGGGGTTTTTTTTGTGTTTTTTTTTAGTGATTAGAATTGATCTAGTTGTGAATAGTGTTTTATTGCATCAGGGTTTCTGTAAGGGTTTATTGCACTTCGTGCTATGCTCGTGAACGTGGGCAGACAGTGTCTGCAAACATATCCTCGAACCATCACTATGTACCTAGGTGAAATAATTCTGCTGACTATTCACTGGTGAGGGCTGGGATGAATGCCCATGGTTTTCACTGTGCTGCCAAGCTTTGCAAGCCACTCACAGGGGCTGGGCTGGCCGCTCGCCTCTCCAGACTGCCTGTGTGGAGCTGCTTTCATAGAATTTCACAGAGTTCTGCAAGGATGGGTGCTATTGGAGGACTGGAAGCTTGGCCAAACCTGGCTTTTCAAGGGTAAAAGCAGAGCAGCAGCCTGTGCTGATCTGCCTGTCCCGCTGGTGTGGGTTCCTGGAGCTTTAGGGGTTATTTTCCTGTGGTGGTAAGGGAATCTGCTGGGCACAGTGATGTGATGGTGTGGGTTGAGCACTCGTCTGCACTGTCAGGGAGTCTCCCAGCACCTCCAAGGATGTTTTTGGGGTAATATTCATTCTGAGTGACCCAGCTCATCCTTCTGCCCTCGGGCTGTTTCTCCAGGTGCAGGAGAAGTGCGACTACGATCTCGTAACACCCCTGGCTCTGCTCTTCTACTATGCGGTCCTGTATGTAAGTCCCGAGGCTGCTGCACGTAGCTCAATCCCAGCCCCTGGGGAGGGACGGGTTCCCACGGAGCCACGGTGAACAGTCACCCGAGCGGGGGGTGGCTTTTGTCTGAAATATCACGCTTTGATCAGTTCATCTCAAAAAAAGATCTGTAGGGATCAAGACCAGCAACCACTGCACAAGCTGAGAGACGGAGAAAAACCCGAGCTTTGGTGGTTTTAAGCTTTTGCTTTGAAGATGGGCTAATGAGAAGGGGAGATGGACAATATTTCTATGCAGAGAAGGCAATTTTTTTTCATTAGCCTTTATGCTTGTACAAAGTACACAGGCAGTGCTAATGAAAAGAAGGAGTGGAGCCTCGCAGGAAATACTTTTTTATTATTATTATTATTAGCACAATGCATCATTATCCCAAGGAAATCATAGCTGCCAGATCTTGCAAAAGCACAGGCTGTAATGCCATTCATCCGTATGGCTCTGCGGTTGTTAAAAAGAAATTTATATATAGGCTTTGGCCTGTGAGCCACAGCCAGGAGGTTGGGAAGGTGCAGAGCGGATGAAGGTTTCTCGGAGCTGTGCCCGGTGGGGATCCTTTGACCCTTCCTTGGGAGAGGACGCAGGGTGTACCTTCCCTCCGATCCGCTTCTCCTCCTCGTACTTCCATCCTAAACCCTTGGGTTTGCTCGTAGTGCTGGAGGCCCGTGCCCTTGCTCCCTTCCTGATCACATCTCCTTGTCCTCCCCGCAGGCTCCCCACTTCCCGCCGGGCTCTGACCTGCTCCTGAAAGCCGCCAGCATTTACCACAGCTTCCTGACCTGGCCCGTGCCCTACTGCGACATCTTCCGTGAGCTGCTCACCTTCATCAGCAACGAGCTGAAGGCTCCCGGTAAGCGCCCCCGCCTTGCCTCCCATGGGGTCTTCACGTGCTGCTTCCCCAAAACCTCCCCCCACTGCCACCACCGCCCCGCATTTGTTCCTGAGACTCTCCGGCTGTTGCTGTCTCGTGCCCCAGAGGCTTCATGAATGGAGCGTTGGTGTCCACGTTTACCTTGTGCATCCCAAACCTCAGCTTTTCCAGGAGGTTTCCAGATCCCTTTTCCAGGGACCTCTTCCTCCCATCCTCTGGATGGTTTTCCCTGTTGTCCAGCACAGGGTGAGACCAGATTCTGCCGGAGGAGTGGGACAGGATTGTGTTCTTGGTGGCCACCTCTGTAAAAGGTGGTGGAAGCATCCCTAGGGACTCTCAGCTCTGGAGCAGTGTGAATTAGCAAAACGTGTAACTATTTCAGTCTGGTGGGTCTTTTCCATGGCAGAGCACGTGCTGGCTGCTCCTGCTCAGCCCTGGGCTTTGTTGGAGATGCTCGGTGGTGTAACTGGGGTGATAACAGAGGCTCCATTCATTGCCATCAAGGTGGCTGGAGCCTTCAAGCCTGCCCTTGCGTGAAGGTTTCCATAGGACTGAGGAACTCCCTGGCTCTCTCTTTGCAGGCGAGACGTTACCTTGTGACACGGCTTTGGGCACATCTATCGGCAGCGCTCCTCTTAATTAAGGACTCCTTGTAGATGTCCTGTTGTTCCCAATGGAGCAGCTCTTCCAATTATTTCTAAAAGGGCCTTTCTTCTAATCTCCCTGTCTTTTGGTGGCTGACGGAGAGCTGTTATCACACAAAGCAGATTTCAGCCCGTGTTTAATCCTGTGCAAGGGCCACGGCACCAAGATGGGCTCTGAGCAGGTACCTGGGCTGTGGCTGAGGCTGGGGTGCTTCCCCGTGTCCTCAAACTGGGCAGCTGCTACGGAGAGCCCTAACGGGGATGTGAAACACAGAGATGGGAACCCGTAGGTGCAGATGGGATGAAAGATGCCTTCAAAGGAATGAAAAAATAAAACCCAATCGAAACACAAACCCCTCTGCAGTGTTGACACTGGTCTGGCTGATTTACCTCCAGCTCAAGGCTCCAGCAGCAGAGGTGGCCAGGGTCACCAGGCGAGGTGTGGCTGGTGTCCAGCCTCCAGCTCGGAGCTGCAAGGTCAGCGCGGACGTGGGGACACTCATCCCATGCTGCTGCAGACGTGGACTTCCCCAGCCCCTTCCCAGTCATTTATTGGTGTGACACCCGTCGGGGCTGTGTTTTGCAGACCACTGGGAAAGCCCCAGCGCTGGGGAGGGGTTGGTATGTCCTGCTCTTGTGCCATCACCACCAGTGCCCGAGGCTGTGTGAACTGGGGACTTTAGTCCAGAAGTTCTTCCCTTCTTACAAGGGTATGATATTCTCTTACTGCTACCAAAAGATGCCATGTGGGAGGTGTTGGCCTGCCGGGACTGGGGAGCCCAGTGCCACCCCTCACCGTGGCTTCTCCCCAAACCTGGAGCCAAGAGCAGTGAAGCATGTGCCCTGCTGGGAAGCTGGCCAGGACCTTACCTCTGTGACCTCCATGCCACAAGGCTGAAGCAAAAGCTTTTTATCGAGATGAGGGTAAATATTAACTGAGAACAAGCTGCTTTCAATATTTGCCAAGAGTGCAATAGCTTTTATCTGCAAGCTGGGGCTGGTGGCTCTGCAAGAGGGATGAGCACTGCCATAGCTGGGGGGTCTGTGTGGATGAACACGAGCTGCCCGTGGGTGCTGGGCCCCCTCTCCATGGGTGCTGCTGAGCAGCAGCTGGGGTTGGGGTGTGACTGACTGCAGTAATAAGGGGACTGGATCTTGTTGACCTCTCAAGGTGTAGCCCAGTCCTGGTGTTTGGGGGTGACACAGGCTTTGCTGTTACCACACAGTCCAGGTCCATCTGATGTCACCTGCCTGGAATTCCTGATGGCATCACGGGGACAGTCCCAAGGAGGCATCCAGGGATGTGGCCTGCCTGTGCCAGCCTCTCTTCTGCTGGAGCTGGATCCAAGTGAGATCCAGGGCTGGGGGAGCTAAAGCGAGTGGCAGAAGCTGCTGAATGTGCTGTGCAATTCCCATCCCACACCAGCAGTGGGGTGGAAGGGACTGGGGATTGAGCAGATCTCTCGTCCCATCCTTTGGCTGCTTTCCCATCACTCTGAGCTTTTACCCTTTACTCTCTTGCTCCTGGTCCCCTTACATGGTGGCTGTGCCTTGTCTCCATAAGGACTTCTGGCGCTGCCATGACCACTCCAGGCAGTGGCTCAGCTGCGTCAGCACCGCATTAGGAGACAAAGTCAAACTGCTCCCGAGGCAGAGCAGTCTGTGGGGGTGCCATGTCTCATGTCCTCTTCTCTTTCCCCCAGGAATCTCCTTCCAGAGGCTGGGGGGGGCGGGGGCGGGGGTGGCCCCGGATA